TAAGAGAGTGAGATATTGAAGGACCCAACAATGCTGGACCTATAAAGGACAACTATTAGACATGAGGTTTTGTCGCAAATAGTAGCTCCAATTAAAACCCTCTTATTGATCCACTATAACCAGTTCATGCTTTTTATGTCCTGTCTCCGGCATCATTAGATGGACGGGGAAAGAGAGATTGATCTCTTACCTAATCACACGAGAAACTGGGGGGCATAGATGATCTCAAATAGATTTGTTTTCTTTCTCTTGATTTTTTAAAGAAAATGACATTACTCCATCCCCAATTAATTAGTGACGCTGAGAGCATGTTATCACTGTTTTAGATTGAATAATGGTATGTGATTTATGCCATAAAAAGTTTTTTTTTATACATTTACATAAAAAATAAAATATAAAAGAAAACTATAAAGGCTTGAAAAAAGTCTTCAGTTAAGCATGAAAAACTTTTTTTTTTCTTCCAACATTTCCCAGCGACTAATTAGATAAAAAATATTCCATCCTTTATAACAAAACCACTATAAGTACAAAAATAATTGATCGTATAACTAAACAACAGTTTTCTAATATTGTAAATAATGACACTTTAGATGATGATGCTAAACGTTCTATGGATTTGAAAACAGAGGGAGCAACACATGTGCAGTTCTTCAACTCAATCATGCAACTTTTTAAACTGATACTTGAAATAAATGACAAGAAGCAAATCTTTAGTTATTTTTTTCTCGGATACGAGTGTACAATCAAGGATTTTACAGTACATAACATTGTCATGATGCATTATGGCTTAATAGAGGACCTAGGAATTTCAAGCCTCACATTATAAGATATAAAGTGTGTGTGTGACTGTGTGTATACAATTATCTGATTTGATATATGTGACAACCTAAGAACATACGAGAACGAGATACTAAAGTCGTAAAGAGAAGAAAACAAAATTAGGATGATGGTTTGTGGGAAAATTGCAACGAATAGTTCTTTCACCTAATTAAAACATAACATATTTCAACGTTAAGTAGGAATCATACATACTTAAATCAATGAAACAAAAAAAAAAAAAATAGACGACACTATTAATTTATATTTTATATATATAAAAAAAA